CCCAAACCCAAACCCCCAAAACCCTATCCGCTGCAGCCTTCTCCTGCTTTGCCGCCTTGTTCTTCTCCTGTAGCTTGGCATCCCGGGCGCGGCGATCGGTGAGCCTCGACCACTCCAAAAGATCCCTCAGAAGGCTTTGTAAGTACCTGGCGTCTCCATTGTAGTTCCTTTTGGGTTAACCAGCTGTTACTAGAAACCGTATGAACCTGAACCTGAAATCTCCTATGCCCATGTAGAATCTAGATCCTGAATCCTAAATAAACTCCCCAAATGCCAAAAAACAAAAGACTACATCTCTTTGGTAGTCGTAAGGACACGGGCCCTTTGCAGGGCGTATGAGGGTTTACAGGAGCCAAGAAGTTTCTTAGTTATAAGGCCCATTCGAGAGGCTTGTAGGGGTGTTATCATGGTGATCCGAGAGCTTCCCTAAACCCTAAACTTGACTAAAGGTGTCTCTTGCAGGCGTCCTGTCCTGCAGGGTTTTACACGGGCTGAAAGAATCCCAGGGTCCCTCAATGTCCCTCAACCACGGTAGTTCCACGAACACTCCGGAATTTTTCGGTGAAGTGCGAGGCACCGTCAAGAGCCCTTAAACGTTCTTCAATGCTGGTTGCGTCTCATAGCCTTCCAACAGGCTTACCATGTGCCCTGGTAGTTGTGTCTTTGCAGAGGTGTTTGTCCGGCGTTTTGAATTCAGGCTCTGGCTTAAGAATTAGGATTTGGTTGGACACCTCAACGAACTGCCATAGCCAGGCTTCTACAGATAGATAGAAGGATGATACAAGATATACCGAAAATCGATATGTCTTGTTTCCGAAACCCGAAATTCCCACAAACCCCCGTAGAAGTCTTACAAGACATACTGCATCTCCCAAATGGGACGTATACGACAAGTAGAAGCAAAAGGGACCTTATTCCTGACATCTCCGGACAACTGGTCCTCGCAACCGTGATCAGACTCGAGACCCAAAGAGCCCCATACTTTTAAGACAGCTACAACTTGAAACTCTATGGGGTTTCCGGGAATTTCAGGGAACCTTCCTTCCTTCCGGGTCCTCTGTTGGGCTCTTTGGGGATGTGCTGAGGCTCGAGCGACATTTCGCCGCGTTCCACCTGGAGCAGAGCTGTAAGCTGTACACTTCATGGAACGGCCAGGGGGAGGAGGCGCAAGGCAATTGAATTTGGCAAGCTTGAGACATTGAGTTCTTGGATGTCTTGTACTCACAGAACTGACTGAAAACTTGGCCTTGTCTTGCAGCCGCTTTGTTCTCGCAGCTTTGCGCGTGCGGCGCACCTTGACTTCAGGCGTCAATATGCAAAACTCAGGCTCATCCTCTCGTAGTCTATAATATAGTATTCGACATAGTAATACTTACCATAAATATACTCTATGTCTTAATACCATGAATTACCATAGCCATAATCTACCCCATTGAAGCAAGCAGGGCAGGATCAACGAGCTGCCAGGGCCCTGGCTGCTGCTTTCTCGTCAGGAGTGAGCTCTGCTTGATCCTGCGGCGAGCGGACTGCAGCCATGCTCGGGTCGTCCATTCGTCGGAGCCTCTCCTTCTGAGTTCAATCAGCAACACTCAAGGGAGACCTCCTATGGGTGCAGGAACTTAGAGACACGCTCTGTTTCGCGAGAACCGGAGCGTCCGGGAGGGGCCTTGACGTGCCGTCGAGGTGCTCGCCGCTCCTCCGGCCTTTGCAACACACAGGCGGTCTGATCAACTTCGGGTTGCGCATGTGCTGTCGGTTCTGGGGCCGGAGCGCTTGTAACGTGGCATCGGAGACCATAAGGGGTATCGTCTCCTGAATGAAGCGCGGTGTCGAACCCTCTATGCAGCAACTTGCACTCTGGATCCTGCCCGACAAGATCTACGTCATTGGGCTAACAAGCTCATCAGGGGGCTTCCGAAAATAGGGGA